ATAAGATCAATGATGTAGAGAACATTAGGCTACTGTAATGCATGCATTAACATACAACCACACACTAGGGTGGTTGAGACAGAGTCAATATAAATAAATGGATATTGAGAGAGATTGATTACTGAATCTTTGTTCATCGAATCTACACCGGGCACTCAACACATGTAATGGAAATGACACAACACCTATACTGGAGAAATGGAGGAAATTTTACTGTCAATTAAAACAGATCATATGAGGTAATATAACTATACAAATCAAATGTCGAAAGTTGTGTGATTACATTGATATGATAATGAGCAATGATAATTTATGCTCGAGACGTCGTCATCAAATAAATAATACTGTATCACTGTGTTATAAATCAAATAAACAAATCTAACATGGAATTAAGTTCTTCCACAGTGCCGAAATTTTAGACCTATGTTGAAGAAGTAAGGAGCATGCAAGGTGCATTGAATTCCAATAACTATCCTCAGAATGTTCTTCTAAATGTTCATTAACATGAGAAGAGCGGTCCAAGAGAAAATTCGGATGATGATTCCTACATCAGCACAATAATCCCACCGTTCTGCCACACTCAGATTGAGGAGCTACAAAGGGTTTTAAGAAACCATCCAATTAGAGCCTTTTACAAGATAACCAACACTCTCAGTAATGCATTAGTCCAATTAAATATGAAGTTCGTTTTACTTTAAACAGGAATCTTGCCTACAAATAAAGGTGTATTGGTAGTCATACCTAATAGAATCATCCCGTAAGATCTTCATTCAGGCTAAAGAACATGCAAGTTACACAAAACGACATGCAAAAAGCCCTATAGAACTAGACAACTTACAGATCAAGTCGGCAATCGCGGTTCATGCTATCTATTGCAGTCAGAAAAACGATATTAAAAAGTTTTTTCAGACTACTAAGATAGAAGATTAGCTGAGTCATTTCACATTGTGTTTAATTTACTGCACTGACTCAGCAACGAACTATAGTACTTTTTCTCACACGCTCACACACATTTACAACACTTTGAACTCCAGACTAACAACGGATAATAAAGGCAAGATTGAAAGTATTTTGACCAACAGATAACAATGACATTTATGCCCATATTATAATCATGTATGAACAACGTGTTCCGATTTGTTACCATTTACGGTTTAAACAGTCGATAACTTGTTCACGCATTATTCTCTGAAGAAGAGATTTTAATGAAGTCGCGAAAAGTCAGAAATTAATTTTTTTACTTCACTGGGATTTTACAAATATATTCTGTTTATAATCCGTTTACCCAATGCTTAGCTTATTCAACGCTATCAAGTCAAATTTCAATCCTGAAATTTATAACATACTATCTTTCGTACTATTTATTGATATATTTGTTATTCTCCGTTGTTTTGGATCGAATTGTTCCACTTCTACCGGCATATGGGCTTCTGTGCAGTGCCTCGATATTGCCCGAATGTTAATTTTGATAATTTGGTTGGTTGTGGCTAGCAGAAGAATCCAGGATGTGCGTTTCGTCCTATTTGGGTCTCGTTTGCTAGCCACAACCAACCGAATTATCAAAATTAACATTTGGGCAATATCGAGGCACCGCATAGGAGCCTATATCCCGGTAGAGGTCAAACAGTTTGATCCAATAAAACAACGGAGAATAACAATTATGTCAATAAATAGTAATAACCACTACCCATTGTAAAAGAAGTGGCTATCGTTCCTCTGTGGCATAATGGATAACGCCTGAGCGTTTGAAGCGATGGGTCGGGGTTCGTATCTGAGTGGGAACAACATCACTGGGTTGCAGGTACGTCCAGCTGACGGGTCGCAAATAGAGTGGAACACGCGTTCTGGATTCTTCTGCTAGCCACAACCAACCAAATTATCATAAATACTATCTTTATTTTACACCTATAATCGTTTATTCAACTAACTAAGATATTTAAACATTTTACATGAAAGGATTTTATGATTAAAAGTAACAATATGAATGAAGACTGTTATTTTCAGCAAATTTCCATCAGGTTCTACAGTTAAAAATGCATTTGTATAGCGTGAAAGCAAACCAAGTTATAGGTGAATACATTTTCAAAATGAAGTGAGATTTACGGACTGTAAGCAAATCGAATTTCCTTCCTTAAGTTTTTCAATATTACGATGACAGATATACAAGTGAATGATATGTTGGTGAACAAAAAGAAAACGAATAAAGGAGAGAGGACTGATTTTTCGTTTACGAAAGGCCAAGGGAAAAGTAAGGCTTTGACATGTTCTTTCTGTATGCAGGGTCAAGATTTGATTAATCTTATTGCAACCGCCTCCGTTACGTTGAGCACATATAGGTGAGCTACATATGGTATTGATTTTCAAATATGATGAATGACAGTGAACGATTTACTAGCATCTATGTGATGCCCTGTGTCTACTAGATACACTAGGATGGAGCTTTGCACTAATTTTACTTCTTTTTTTCCGAACCAAGCTGGTAAGGGCTATTGTATCTGGACAAGCACCTGTCTAATCGTACGCTCTATGTAACTTGTTCCAAGGGAATAGTTAAATTAATGCATGAAAGGTTAAAGACAAAGATTAGGTAGGCTATCTGTTAGTCTCAGATTGGGCACCGATCGACAAATGCATGCATGAAACGTCCTATTGACTACTCTAACCAGACTTTATGATGGAATGTTACTTGCAGCGTCTGCCTGGAATTGTAAGAATGGAAACACCGGCTTCTTTCCCATTGTGATCAATTCTCGTTTAGGATCAATCTGATTTATGTTAGCTTTGATGAACTAACTAATCTAGATATCGGCTTTCACTCAGAATATCATGGAAACGGATCAGTTCTTTTTCCACGCTCATGTTGAAATATGTTGATCTTACTCTAAATGCCGGGCAACTGATTAAACTAGAACAGGTTACTTCTGTCTTCATTATTCGTTATCTTTTCGTTCACTGTCATTTCATTCATGTGTTCATATATGTCATCCTAATATTGACAAATCTAAAAAGCAAACTCGATTTGCTAAAAGTCTATAAATCTCATTTTATTCTAAAATGTATTCACCCATAACTTGGTTTGATTTCACGCTGCACAAATGCATTTTCTAATCATAGAACCTGAAGAGAATTTACTGGAAAGGATATTCTTCCTTCAGATTATTACACTTTATCAATGTCATAAGGATCTCTAAATGTTATAATTGTTTCAAGCTGTAAGCAGCTGATGAGAAAACGCCAAATAGAATGGATCTGGACTATTCTATAAAAAAAAAGCTGTTCTGGCATTTTTCAAGTTTAATAAAGGAAAAAGCTGTACGAAATTTAATTCATTTTGTGACATCTGTATTGTAAACATAAAATTTGAAAAATTGATGAAGTCGAAAGAAACACCTCTCATGAGAATACATTTATTCAATACAGGTGAGTCGTTTCTTAATGGTTACAATGTTGAAATGTTGAAATTTTTTATAATGAATGAATTTTAAGTATTTATGATTGGCTAGAAAGCAACAAAATATTTCAGAACTCAGCGTCTTATGGAGGAAATATTACTGTGTAGGCGATGTCATACACTCACCGCTGAAACAATTTTAAACTAAGCGATTATATAATTAACCGAATCAACGAAGCAAACTGATTTTTTCTACTTCATAGATTGAACTAAAAAAATGTTGACATTTTTATGTGTTTGCTCTAATATATAAGCACAACTTCGATACTATGGTAAAATCCAGTTACATTTTAGTTGTTGTATTGGATGTATCACATAGTGATATAATATTATTGACTGGATTACACTTCAGACAAATCATACTGTCGATAATCATATCGAGATAAGTCGATAACTTCAAGACATCCTTTATATAGTTCTAATTCGTTCACCTTCCACGTGATATAAGTAGCAGTAGTAGTACCTTTCATATATCTAAAAGATATGCTGAATCATTCGTGTTGCATGTGTTTGGTGTAGATTCGACAACCGGAGATTCGGTTATCTATCTCTTTCTTGTCAACCCACTGAATTTTCTGAAGGATTGTCAATGTGTTCTATCTTACTGAGTGGTTTTGTTTAATTGCGTGCATAGCTGTGGACGAACGTTTTTCCAGATTCCTTATCTTAGTTGGTAGGTGGAATAAGATGAAAAGAAGATAGGAGTTTTGCAGGTTGTGTCTATAGAAAACCTGTAAACTGGAATCGTTACTTAATGACTTCAAATCACTTCAGTGTATATCAGTTTCCAGTGAACTGGTAACAAGGAAAAGAAACTTATTTGTAGGATAGATTTCAGACAGGAAATCAAGTATACTAAAGACAACTTACTCATCAATATATAAAGGATGTCTTGAAGTTGTCAACTTATCTCGATATGATTATCGACAATATGATTTGTCTGAAGTGTAATCCAGTCAATAATATTATATCACTGTGTGATACACCTGATATAACAAATTAGATTAAGTATTTTTACGCCGTCTGTCAAATAACTCTTCCCAACCCTATAGAATGCACTATCTTGTGAACTTCCTAACTTATCTTCTAATGCTGCCAAAATGGCGATTGTTTTATAACAAAACAATTTGAAACTTTTCTACAACCCAATGATACAAACCAGTTGCATTACTTGAACTTCAATAATGACACAAACATTCTATAATTTTAAATATTACTTTCATTGAAACACTTCAAAACTTTATGAAAAAATGTTAAAAAATCCTTCATGGACTAATAAATTCAGCTGAGCTGCATGAGGCTTCCAATATGATGATATCTGCTTTTATTGTTACTGTAACCATGACCTATAATACCTTTTTATTTGATTCAAATTTCTTTACACTACTTCAATTTAAACATAGAATGAAGATAACAGTTAGGAATAGAGACATTTTGAAAAGTTTCCGTTAATTTAGTTTACTTATATACATTATTTTAATAAAAGAAAAAGACAATAAACAAACGGAAACATAAATTTTATTGTACATCATCAAAATGTCAAGCTTACATAAAAATGTAGAAAGCCATGCAGGTTGACCGTGATGTTCAATAGCTCCACAGACGGTGTTTAAAAATACAAGTATAATTACTGCCCAGTAAAACGGTTGACTTTTCACCATTCTCCGTATAGCATATCTGAGTGATGATGGATAAAGATGAAATGAAAATAATTAGCAATCTAGGGAGTAATTTGCTCTAATATAGTTATTATGACAACCCGAATATCTTAGATGCGGACTGTAATAGACTACTTCTTATTAACTCCGTATTTATAGTTTTTCCCTTAACTTTATATGCGACACTAAGAGATATATGATAGGGTGACAACTGATATTTTAATCTAAACAGCCATTAGGTATAAAAATATTATTATATATTTTTAACTGCCAAAAAAACAGTAAAGCTTATGCAGAAGTTAGGTGATTTTTGTTTGATGCATTTTCATTAGTAAGTTGAACATACTTTCTATATACATGAACTTTATGATAACTAATTATAGACTTCGGATATCTTAGCTATAAGCCTAGATTTTACTTACGATTAATGTTATTTTAATGAATAATCTAGGTATTAGCTAGTCATTCAAATTTAAGTTAGTGGAGATTAAGCACGAAGAATTAATCAGTTGTTGTTAAAACTTCAAAGTGAAGCGAATGCTTGAAAATATCTTGTGATTGTTAAACTCAAAGATCTACAGGCAAAAACTAACATTTTGACAGAAGAAGTGGAGAAGACGAGACTTCAGGTGAACGTAGAGAAGACGGAGGTGATGAACATACCCAACGAACAACAGCATCAACAACAAGCACCAATCACCATCATCAGGAGAAACCTAAACGAATTTGTCTCTTTCACCTACCTGTCTAGGCAGTATCGTTTCAACTACAGACGGCACAGGCACAGATGAGGATGTCAAAGCAGCCAGGATTGGAAAGACAGCAACACAGGTCTTCACTAACCTAAAATCATCATTGTGGAGGTCTACTGCACCGCACTGCACTGCACTCAGCATAAAGCGTGAACAACATCCGGATTTTCAACACCAATTCAGTCATGTCACTGCTGCTATATGGTTCAGGAACTTGGCGTGTCACAAAAAGCACTTCCAACAAACTACACACATACATCACATCAACAGCTGCCTACGCTGGCTCGATACTGAAGATGGAGATCAGATGGCCAGAATAATAAGAATGAGCAACAAGGAACTCTGACTGGCTGTCAGCTAACTAACAAAGAACCCATCGCCAAACAAATATGCAGAAGAAAATGGAGATGGATTCGACATACACTGAGAAGGCCGACTGGGGACATCACGCATCAGGCCAGACCCTCGAGTGGAATACAGATGGGAAACGACGAGTTGGGCGTCGTGTCTAGGGTGACATGGAGGAGATGATGTGAGGAAGAAATGAAAGGTTGTGGGCAGTCGTGGTGCCAGACTGAAAAGACTGCAGAGGGTAGAGTGCATTGGAGGCGTTCTACTGAAGCCGTTTGTTCCACTTGGAACCCAAGGGAAAAATAATAATAATAATGGTAAAATGCATTTCATGTTTATTTTGTATAATATTTACTCTAGACAAGTGAGGATTTCGTTTGATAAGATAATATGCTTTTTCTGCATTTAGATCCTAATATCACTTAATCTTGTGTGGTCCAGTTTTAATGAGTATTATCAATAATAGATCTACATTACAGTTATGCACCAAGGCAACAATATGAAGAAACTTTGCACAGCCCAATTAACTGGTGCTGGGTTGTGAAAATCGGGCATATTTTGTGCACCGAGGATTACAGGTATAGCCTGGTTGCTTACCGCGGCGAGCTTCATCATCGCCCCACAGAATATTAGCTGATATATCGTCCGGTTGACGGAAATGACGGTCTATGAGATCCATATGCGCAAGATCAGTGGTGGGTTTTCGGAAGCGAGGACGGTTTCGTAAACCACTGGGAAAGGTGTGCTGAATCCAGTTTCCTAATTCCGTTAATCATGATTATTGAAGTAATCCCAAGAGACTGGGTTTTTTTCCATGAAGCTGGTCTGCCCAAGGAGAGCTGAGTGTGACCAAGAAACCGATTATCCGGTTGATTTGAAGCCTGACAGTCCAAAGGGTTCTAAGACAACACTGACCAATACGTTAACGCAATGCTATGGCAACAGTATTCGTCTTTATGTATATGAATTGCTTGGACGATTCCTGCTCGGCTTGGGAGTCGGTCCTCCATCTTTGTGTTGGAAAACCCATAGATCTGAAGACCAGCTTAGAACTTGCAGCTGAGCCAAACGTTATAGTGAAATCTCAAATGACAATAAAAGTTAGGTTCAATTATTCAATAAGCATTTGATGGCCAAAGCATAATTGTTTTGGAAAGTAACAGTGAATATGCAGATTTACTCTAAGTATGCAGAATAAGTGTTTAAACTCAATTACTTGTTGTAAGAGTACAGTAAAGCAGTACGTTTCACACAACTCATACTCAGTTGGGCTGAAGTTAGTCTGAATAAGATGAATTTAATGCGTAAGTAATTGGTACATATACCCCTTAACATAATTATATTAGGAATTTAACCATTTTCTGTAGGAGGTACGGTTACAAAATTATTGGTTAGTTCGCGTTCAGGTTTTTAATTGAACAAGAGGAAATTCTTTAAAATTTTTAATCACCCACGTACTACACAAAAGTATGTTTCAGTGTTTCATTTAGTCTTGATTATAAATCGTGACGTGATAATCAAGTGTTTTTTTACTCAGATGCAGTATTGAATTCTTAATTTGTTTTCACAATAATGAAATTGGAGCTAATGACCTGATTCAGTAAGGAAAACTTTTTTCCATAGCTTTGGATACAGAGTAAGGAGGAATGTTTAAAGCAGAAGTCCTTCTTAATGAAGTGCTCTGTCTGTAGTCATTTAAACACTTATGAAATTTATGAAATACAGGATCAAAATTTGACCTGATAGAATTGAATAATTTGAGCATTGAGTAAATGGATTATAGATGAAATACATTTTCACCAATACAAAATGATGATCTTTAAACGAAACTCAGAAAAGATCCTATGATAGGGGATAGTTCAGCCTTTTGACGTTAGCCTTCTTGTATTTACTATATGTGATAACATCTAAAAGAATACCTTGCTACTGAAACTCCTTAAATATTTTTTACTACTGCCTTATATAAAAAAAAGACTTCACTGGGTTAATTTCTAATTGATTGAGTAAACCCAAACTCGACTAAAACCTTTATAACTCCTAGGGTTCTAATTATGGAAAATAAATCCTAACGTTTTCATGATGGAACCATGTTCAGCAATATTTATCATATTGTACTTGTATTCTTTTCTAATCTTAAAGTTTCCAACAGAATTTATATGATTTCAATATCAAGTATTCTCGGAAACATTTTACCTGTTACTTGTTGTCATTACACCCTATTCAAGTATAAAGTTGACTAGATCGTTTTGTTGATAGCAACATTTCATTTCATGTAGATGAATATAGTTTTTGAAAGTTACTTCATAAAAAAATGGATGATGTTTAGAAAAATACTTCATATGATTTCTTCATTTATCATTAACTTCTTACCGAATTCGTTTTTCTCTTCTCCAACATCCTTGACATCTTTCTTTTCGACGTCTCAGTAGATCTCCATAAGATGAATGAGCTGAATGTTTTTGAAAGGCAAGATTCAAAATCAGAAGTTATTAAAAGTTGGGTAATAAAAATTAGTTTGTTTGATCATATTTCAATGATAGCTTAGTGTGTAGATAAAGTTTTTTTCTGATTAAATATATAAAAATCTAAAATTTGTTAGAAACACATTAGTGATACTTGTAACAGGATAGAAATTACAAGTGCCAAGAAATAAGAACTAATACCAGTAGCAAAAGAGACAACTCTCATGTCTCGATAGTTGAATGAACAGCGCTTTGGTGTTTGAAGCGATGTGTACCGGGTTCTAGTCTCAGTTAGAAAAACATCCCCCAATAGAATACAGACGTATCTGGTTGATGAGTCTCAGATAGAGTAAAAACACATCCTGAACTCTAAATTACAGGTACTTTAAGTTATAAATTATTCGTTTGCACACAATTTCAAAACCTTTTGTTGTTCCCTGTAGCTAAATACTTTTGTTCAGAAAATACAAACATGTATCAGAAACGATAATTCCTCTTTAAGCCGTTTTAAATTGTTATGTTTTCTTTGTAAATTTTAAAAGATTGGTTGCAGTTCATTCCTTTCTGTGTCCAGCAGATGGAAAAGGGGTATTCATTAGATCTTAACCACAGTATATGATTTTTATATTACTTCGTCAAGACTTAACTTACATCATACTAGGCTAACACACAATCCCTTCCCTTTAAAAATCTAGGTGTTTCTGAAGAGATCGTTCTTCCGATAAATTAGGATAGAAAAGTTGGATGAACTGGAGCAGAATCACAATAAATTTTTTTCATTTCATGTAGTCTCATCATAATCTATGAAATGTAAGTGACCCTAATACGGTAAATTTAGAAAACGTAGAAAGGAATAAGTAAGGTTTAGAACGATCATTAATAAGAATACTTGCCTGTAGGAAGATTTACTAGATATTTACAACACGAAAAAGGAAGTTGAACAAAGAAAGAAAGAATATATCGTTTTTTCCAGAAGCTTGAATTTATTTATGTGGAAAGCACTATGAGAGGTTAATGGATGTGCACTGGGTAAGAAAAGAGGGATGGAAAATGAGCAGAACATGTAACTTCATATCAAAGCATGAAGGCTAGGTTAGCTGAATCTGATGTCTGTAATGCTGGATGAATGGGTAAGTTTCGAATGCTCCGATAAAAAATGGGTCAGTGAACTGTAATTAATTGGAATTCATTTATCCATTCACCTCTTAAACCTTTTAATTCACACTGAACTCACTATTAAGTCAGTAATGAGTAAGCATACAGTTTTGGGAATATGTTTAGAAATGCACATATGTACACATATGTTAATCCACCTATTAAAAATAGTTTACAGTAGAAATGTAGACGACTTTAGGGTGAAACTAAAAAAGAAACTAAGCAAAGTTTGACTTGTTCAGATCGACTTTTGTTCAAGATGAAATATCTGGCTTCATCCATTGTGGAGTTTATCAATTATGGCGTAAACGTAACGTAAACAAGTAAGGAAGTGAAACAAATTGAATGGAGAATGTAAGTGAAAGATAAGACACACTTTTCACCCCATTATGGATTCATCAGTTATGCCTAACTGTATGGAGATGAGCTTCAGTTTATTTCAGACAGAACAGATAAACAAAACCAACATTAAACCTCACACAAAAGTGAATCACTTCCAATCGCTATACTTCACAATAGCATACAAAGAACAAGTGGATAGAAAAACAGCAATATCAAAGTATGGATGGAAAAGGAATTTAGGAATGAAGATGCGTCAAAACATTCAAGTTTTAGTAGACGTCAAAAAGTGAATGCATTTGCACGATTTTGACCGACTTCTAGCCATTTCACCAACAGTTACCAATCACTGATTCCTATCATCTCAATGATTCATGCTAGGTGACCTACATATCCCTAAATGGCCCAAAACAACATTTAGAGATTTCATCGACCGGCACCACATTTTGACCCGGTGACCCTGAGCCTTCTTCCAACCCAGTCCAACTTCTAGCATTTCGGGCAGCTTGTAACCTAATTCCATAGCTTAAATACTTGAAGTTAAACACGTGACCAATGCACCAAGACAACCAAACTTTTTTCAGTGGGTATGCTGAGCAAACTACTACAGATGTTTAAGGTTCTCTGTAAATTATTGAGCTAAGATCAGCTGCAAGAACGGCCTGAAGGATCACCATCTTTCCAACTTTCTGCGGTTGTACCATTACAATTTGCGGGTGGGACACAAACTAGGATATTTAGAACGACAAAAACGTGTATTCCAAATCAAGATGCAAAGTATACACTTGTTTTTAATTATGGTAGCTGGTTGGAGGCAATTAGCAAGAAGCCCTCCACTTAGATTTCATACTTGCTAGGGCTCGTTAGAATCGCGTATCTACAAACTCGAGGAAACTGATGTCCTCTGTTGGGTTCTAACCGGCGTCACCCAGTGTTCTGGTCAGTGACGTTACCACTGAGCTATTTGGGCAGCGATTGAACTCCTGTAGGATTGAGTTAACCACTATCAGTGGTCAGTGAAGAGCAACGAATTCCATGTTATCTACTCCTGAGTGCTAACCGATCCCTATCGATCATTTTGCGAAACGCCACCAATCTAGCAGTCTTAGCATTGCAGTAGACTTTGATGAATATTACTTCGTTGAAAGTAATTTTAATTACCATATCGTTTAGTTCTAAAATATCGTACTGAAGTGCACATCCCTCATGACTATGAAGTCATAGATATTTTCTGCCACTTATCATACCTCACTGCGTTTAAGTATTATTTGGATAAACTATGACCAAACAGCGCGGTATACCAAAATATTCATAATTTTTGTCACGTTTCATCACACAGCACATGAAAATTCAATACAGAGGTTTAAAATAAGGTAGCACCTTGCAAACAATTAAAGATGGTTTGTAAGCCTGTCAATTCTATGTCGGTTAAGTGATACAATTTGTGAGACATGCAAAAAATGGATGGCTTACTCTTTTATATAGGTATTGTTTTAAGTGCAGTACAGTGGAATATTCAACGAAATAGGAAACTACTTACAAAACCATCTATTCTGAAGTAATAATGCTGTTCTCTGTGCTAACTATTTGTATATCGAAGTGAAACGTTATTATATCATACTAGTCACCATATACTTCCTCTATTTACGAATTCGTTATTCAGATAGCTATCAAATCACAAAACGTAGAAACATCCTGATAAAAACCAGCAGCATTAATTAAGATTTCTTAGTAGGCAACACTGATGTAATTCACTTATTCTTTCACAGAAATAATGTCAGAAAATATTTCGTGGTATTCTAGATGCATTAACGTGTAAGTATATGTTTTTGAAAACTCTTGATTGTTTGTCCCATAATTTACTCAATTTGCCTGTACCAACTTAATAGTTTTACTAACGTTTTTGCTACATAGTTAAGTATATCAGTTTGTAGTTACACCGAGTGAGAAAATCCACAGGAATTGTTACCTGCATAAAAATCAAATGATCTGAAGGATACTTGAACACGCAAAGAGCACTATAAATCTATTTTTTCTGTAGTTTGAAACTTAAGATTAACTGACTCAACTGTCTATTGATAGATATCAAATCCAAAGCTTAGAACACGTCACTTACTGAGTGAGTGGGTGAGTAGATGACTGACTGACAAAATCAACTTAGAACTTTACACACAGCTGCTTCGGTTCAAGTTGCCACACTACACAGAGGTACACAAAGAACAGGTGGATAGAGGAGAGTAATTTCAAAGTCATCAAAGTTCTGTGAGTGAATAAATAATCTTGAGATAAAGGTTAGTGGGAATATTTCAGTTTTAGGTGTCATTTACATGGTTCTACTAAACCAAACCTGGCGTAATCTATTTTCAGTCACATAATATTCAACTTCTGATATACTACCCTTTCATTTTATTGCTGAACATTGCTTGTTGATTGTAATCTAGTTGACTTAATGGTCAGGGTTCTTGCTAAATATAGCAGGGCCATTATTAAGAACTGCATTAATTTCCTGATTTTCAGTACTTCACCTTATTCTTCAATCTGGTACTTATTTCATGGGTTCAGTAAGAAGCAATGCTATGGGCCTTTGATCACAAACTCTGCTTTATGAATAAATTCACTATTAACACATTACAACAACGTTGAGACTAGAATAAAAATCAAATGCTGTTTAGTTTTTGAGTAGCGTAAACCTATTACATCATCTATTCAGTATTTTTGAAAAAGATACCAACAAGATCCACAAGTTAACTAATTAGTGATCCATGAGAGATATTTACTTTTCACTTCATCCATTGAAGCAAACACTAGTTGAAAAGTAGTGAGATACTCCATTATCTCATTAGATAATGAAAATTAATAAAAGGCAATTCAGCAAAGAAAATTTTCGCTTGGATAAATCGCTTTTAAAAGCTGCACATGGTAATCAAAATTACAACAAAAAAATATATCCACCAATGGCTAGTGGGTTAATGCAAGGTCACTGAAAACGGTCAATAAAGTCACAAGGTGATAACGGCTAGAAGGTCAAATCAAGGTAATCAAAAATTGCCCTTAGGTTTATATCATTTGGTTATCAGAGATAGTCGTAGTTTGGCAGACTAGTATTTATACTGGGTGGTGATTGAAAATAAAATGAAAATTTGGACCGCGGCTAGATTCGAACCAGCGACCAACGAGTTTGCAGCCCGAAGCTATACCAACTAAGCTACAGGCAAAAACCCTTGATGACTGAAGTGAAATAAAAATGTGATCAACAGTCAGACCTCGTAGCTCAGTTGGTAGAGCATCTGCCCGGAAACTCAGTGGTCACTCGTTCCAGTTCGACCGCAGTTCAAATTTTCACTTCACCTTCAATCATCACCCAGTATAGGATTATAGTAAATAAACAAGGAAATAAATAAACTGTCCTAAAGAGATTACAACCAACGAAAATTAGAGATTGTATGTATCTCTGTCGAACACAAAAAGCAGACTTATAGTGCTGAACTGCTAGAGCTTCTGTTGCGTTTAGGTGGCAAATACGCACTCGCTTCAAAATGTTTACCTTGACTTTATAAATGACCTTAAAAGGAAACTCTCGTGGAGCACGGTGATCAGAGTCAACCAAATGCTGAAGAATCAAGCTGGTGACGACTTTACACTATCCTACGTAGCTGTTTGAATGATTTGTCGAAGAAAAAATTTTCTTCGCTGGATCTCCTTTCATTTACTCTTTTTTCTCACCAAATCTTAACAAATACGTCACTTAATTTTTCTGTTTCTTGTTCTATTTGAAACATAAAAGTATTTGCAGTGCATTCAAAGGTCTAAACATTTTCCTTTATATATACTGTTGAATATATTTTCTACAGATGAATAGGATGAAGACGCTGAATATCCTGTAGACAACATACTTTAGAAATTAAAAAAAATTTGGAAAAAAATCATCCAGTTTGGTTAACTCCCAGAAAATACCAGTACATTCATAAGCTACCTTTAGATTCAGCAAACAATTCAGAATCTTCAAAGTTCGATTCATTGAAAGATGCGTCTTTGCCTGCTTGTTTAAGTCGTTGTTTAGCAGCTCTTCGGCGGGCTAAAAGAACAAAGTAGAATATTATGAGCAGAATAAAATTGTTAGATTGGACAAAATGGATATATTTATGACTAGTACAAAAATAATTTATTTCATCTTTGTATTCATCTTGAAATATATAAATAAATCTAAACAAACCTCCTAATCGAATCACTGTCCAGTGCATATTAATTATTTGCTTCGACAGGAAGTCCCTGAAGTTCGGATAAGAAGTTGTGACCGGTGGATTAAATCAAGTCGGAAGTGAAGACAATTACTCAACAGCGGTAGTAGATTGAGGTCACATTATATAGTAAACTGATAGAAGTAAAAAAACGCGGACCATTGGATTCTGACTGGACAGCTTAGTGGGACCCGAAGGTCCTGGGTTTGGTCCCTGACGAGGTCATGGGGGCACGCTGCGGGAGAGTCCCATAATGGGACGGAACAGTCATCCAGTACTCCCAAATTTTCAATGCTCCTCCAACTGTTGTCAGCTTGGAATGAATATCAACTTGAAATCAACAAATAAATCTCCATAAACCTTAAAATTGAATTATATATCTATTTGAAACAAATTAATATTACCTTATGTTTGGGTCCATAAGTTATTCAATGATTTATTCCATTTTAAACACTTAATAAACTTAGAGTCTAACCATGAAAGCGGATTCATGTATTAACTCCAATATTATTCATTGTATAAGTGTATTGCAGTTATATCTTGAATGCAAGCTGGGGTATACAGAATTTCCAGCAGTCTATGATAATACAATTAGCGAGCTAAAGGTTAACACAGATCCAACCCCTATAAACTAATGACTATTCCACAGGCACTTCTGATTGTAGCAGAATACCATTTTTGGCTTTTTTAGGTAAATTAGTTTAGCAACCATGACTATTGACATGTTTCACGTAACCGTAGATATTCTACGCACTCTATCAAGTCATAGTTTGATCCTGAAGACTATCAAGCCATAAATACTGTTGCATGTCTACAGAGTAAAATTAAGTTTTCAGTAAAGCAACAGTAATAAACTGGTTGCTCTAGTCCTGCTAGGTGAAGACGCCAACAAGATTCACAGTCATCGAGTTGCAACTTGAGAATGTCTGAGACGCGTTTCTCGTCATCTAAATGCAAATTATTGCTCCAGGACTGGTCTTCAGTGGTGCTCCGACTAGCAATGGAGAGTGAAGTGGTTGAGGGTTTTGAACACTTCACTTATCTAGGAAGTCAGATCAGCCCTGATGCATTCACTAGTGGCCGAAGAAATCTCTGCAAGGATACAAAACTTTCGGTTAGCTTTTGCCAACTTATGCCATCTGTGGTGCCACCATGATATCTGACTATCTATTAAGGGTAGAGTGTACTGTGCTGCAGTCCTCTGTGTTCTACAGTACGGCTATGAAACACGGCTATTAAAGGTAGAAGATATGAGAAGGCTTCAGGTGTTTGACCACCGCTGCCTTCGCAGTATAGGCGTTGTTTCATGATGTCACCACATAAGTAACGCAGAAGTCAAACGTAGAATTTTAGGGAGGAGAAATAAGGCAATTGGTGCTGTTGTGAACTTTTAACGACTGAGATGACTGGGACATGTGTCACCTGTGCCTAGTTGCCATCTGCCTCGTCCCACAATGTTGGCCAAAATAGGTTCAGGCAATAAGGCTCGAGGAGGTCAGAATAAAAGATGACATCACAATATGAAGTCCTTGACTGCTGGTGTGAGCCGCATGGGGCAATGCAGACTAGTCGGCTGGGGTCTGCGAAATAAAAACCAGTGTTTGGAAACTGTAAGTGATATGGCTCAGAACCGATGTCAGTGGAACAGGTGCATACACACATTATCCCCACCTTAACCCCTATACTTAGTCCCGTCATTTCACTATTCCTTCATCTCTCACTACTTTCTAGTTCTTTTAACCGATTTTTCTTCATTCTTCATCTTACACTTTATTGCCTTGTTACTTGATTTGTTGATATGAGATGTGGCAACTTGGACTATTACTCAGTAATGTCTGGTTTTATGTTAATCTTGATGATGATGTTATAAACTACGATTGATAAGTATTTTACTTTATTCTATGTTACTATAAACAACAAATCTTATGATCATGTTTGTTGTCTTTGCTGGAATAGTTCTTATAGTAAGCCACTGGAATTTAAATGTGACTTTAGGCTATCAAGCTCACTTCTTATGCTATGGTGATTTCCCATGTGGATCGTTCTAAAAGACACTTAGACCAGTTTATGTACTAATGCATGACACCTATTATGTAAGCTGAAATGCTTTTTTCTCATTATTCACAATGAAAGCTATGTAGAAAGCTGTCTATGGTACATATTAAATATGATTGAAAGAAAAAATCAGATTGGATATCTGGTCAAGTTCTAAAAGAAATATGTTATCATCTTTTTTCTCGCTTCCTACTATTAAGCTGATAAATGTTCAGTGAAGGCTAAGCATTGGTTGGTTTTCAATTATCAAAAAAACGCGAATACCATTAATAGAGTTGCGGAAATGATTTAACACAAAAGCATCTTCATAAATTGCTTATGCACTGTGAATGATTCGACTAAAAGCAGCCAACCGTTTGTCCACATAAGACAGCATACAGCTCATACCTACTGCGTGACATTTTTCTAGAAAGGGAAACAGGAAAGGGAACAGCTTTGTTTGCAAAGATTAAGTAGTTTTACGGCGGCAGTAGAGTTTCGAAATTTGCTACAATGTTCACGAATTAAATATTGTGATGAATAGCATAGTTTATTGTCACTGCTGGGCTTCTAACAGTATGAATCTTTTGACACAGTATATTTAAAGTTTGTTTGGTTCACTCTCAGGCTAACAAAGATTTCTGCTTACGATTAGCATTAGTATGTATCCATCTCGTCTAAAATTCAGAATTTCATTCTCCTGAAAATATGTGACCTAGATTTTTATTGCTTTTGTCGCTAAAGAGGCACTGAAGACCTAAAATCGCGGAAAAGGTGTTTTGTCTTGGTTTATGATGCCTCATTAGTACTAACCCATTACTTTGTGAAGTATCGGACTCGCGGTCATAGATCATGTAGCAAGCCCGTATCCACTAAGTCGCTAAGACGGAATCCATTCAGTCAAGTCCTGGAATTTCTGTCAGTTTGTGATTTAATGCTGCCAGCATGCAGTATGATCGTCGAGTATTTGTTTTCACAGCCAACTTGATTGATACCACAAGCCATAACTTATCAGAACTTCGAGAAATCCATCTCAACCCTGTCGACGGCTGCGTTCTAATCACCACACCCTACAATGCTGGACTTGATTCCATTTTAGGTGAATGATGCTGCATTTGGAAGTAAAATAGACGAGTTTCTTGCGAGCTACCCCATTCATGTCATCAACTTTAAGTAGACATATTGTTACTGAGGTGGTTTATTTGCACGGATACATCACCAAATGCCAGTTGTATTACTCTCTCGTTCATTACCCCTTGTGTATGACGTTACTCATGCTTTCTAAATTACACGAAAAATGGGTCTATTCCAACACCGTAGCTGATTCGGTCTTATTATGAATGACGTACTTCCTAAAATACTCGGAGATTTTCTACTTCCTTCATCTAACATTTCTACATTCTCACAGTCAAAAGATAACCTTTTTGTTGACCTTAGTGACTAGCAGAATAAGTCAGGACTCACTTTTCCTTCTCTAGGATAGCCAAATAGAACAAAATGCTCACTCTAGGTTCCTCTGCTGATCACCATAACCCATATAACATCATGAATATCCGGCAGTATTGGGGCGTCCGAACCTCGCCTGGTTAACTAGTTCACTAGTTACTAGCCAGTCCTAAGCCCCGGGGGGCATAGGGCTAGCAACCCTACTCCGGAAAACCAATCCGATCGCTTAAGAAATTTCTAAGCACAAACAAAATATAAAAAATAAAAACAAACTGGTCCCTCGCTGGAATCAGAGCGACGAAATGACGCCGGTTGGTGAAAGCCTTCGTGAAGCCAGTCGATCGATTTATCTCCTCTCTCTCGATGAAAGCGAAAGTAGGGATGGGGACATGGAATGTCCGTACCATGTATGAACCTAGCAAGGCTGCTCAGATTGCGAAAGAGATGAGGAGATATGGCATGGAAGTGACTGGAATCTGCAAAAGCAGATGGAATGGGAGTGGAGTCTCCAAACTGTCAACTGGAGACGAGTCAATAATCTACTCCGATATTGTCACCCAGACGACAACCACGAGCATACTGAGTTTTCGAGTGGCTACCATGATGTCCTCAAGAGCATCGAAGGCTCTCTCTCATGAAGTGGGAACCAGTCTCCTAGGTAGCATCGTTTCAACTACAGGCAGTATAGACGAGGATGTCAAAACCAGGATCGGAAAAGCAGAACAGGCATTCCTTCAATAACCTTAAATCAGTGTGGAGATCGGCTGCACTGCACTATACTCACCATAAGGAACAAGATCCGGATTTTCAACATCAATTCAGCCAATTCAGTGCTGCTATATGGTTCAGAAACTTGATGCATCACGAGAAGCACTTCCAACAAACTATACACATTCATCAACAGCTGCCTACGCTCGATACTGAAGATCAGATAGCCAGAAAGAATAACCAACAAGGGACTTGCTCCGGCTGACAACGAACCAACCAAGAACCTACCACCCAACAAATATGCAGCAGAAGGAAGTGGACGATGGATTGGGCATATACTGAGAAGACCATTTGGAGACATCACGCACCAGGCCAGACCCTCTAGTGGAATCGAAAGGCGAAAAGACGAGTTGTTGGTCGGTGTCGAGGGTGACACATAGGAGATGGTGTGAGGATGAAATGAAACCTTGTGGGCAGTTATGGTGCAGGTTTTGAAGACTGCAGAGGATAGAGTGCAATGGATGTATATTACTGAAGCCCTAAATTGCACTAGGAACCCAAAGGAAAAATAATAATGATAAATCGGGACGTCTGCATAGGAGCCCATCTGCAAACTAAGATAGAGCGATTTGGCCATATATAGCAACGG